ATTTGTCTTTTCATTTGTAGGAATAAACAAAATAACAGCAGAAATAGTCTCTGGTATGTCACTCCTGTGATAGGCACAACTTGAGAACAGGGTAAGCTGTTGGCTCTCCTGATTAAGAGCTAGCATTGATCAGACCATTTATTAGAACTTAAGACAGATCCTGGTGTGGTTTATTGTTATGCTGCCACCTCTGGAAGGTACCAACAGTACCTGAAAGCATTTGCTTATCTATAATCTGATAATTAAATAGCTGTAACAAAGTCTGGAGATCTCTTCCTGATTTTGCAAATGCTTCTGTGTCTCATCAGTCCACTGGGAAGAACAAGGAAGCAGAGCAGGGAGTTGAATGTCTAATTAAACTGGTGGAAGGCAAGTACCCAGCTCTGCAGAGACATCTTGGGAGAGAAAAGCAAAGAAAGGGGTGCTCAGTGCCTTTACACGCCTGGGTTTTATCTTTGCTTAGTTGTAACCTCAAAAACATGGAAGGACTTCTTGCTGTGTAGATCTGTAAATCAAATAATGTTAATGTTTTATTTCACAACAAAAATGGGGGCATGGTAGAGATAGACTTCAGGAGTGACCTCATGCTTAGCACAGCGTGTTATTTTAAATGTCAACCTCTTGGGGAAGGTTCCCATGCCAACAATTTTCTTCAGAGGTTCAACACTATGAAAGTGGGTGAACACATATTCAAATGGTAACTCATTCAACCTTCCACCTTCATAAAACAGAGCAAAAAAGCTTACAAAAACAGACTAGTAAGTAGAGCACACAGCTGAGAAAGAGCAAGAAGGACATTTTATTTTAAAATTAATAAAAAGCCAGACTATCACAAAAGGGCTGCTGCACTTCTATGCAGCATACCACACCTAGGAGATTAAACAGAAATATTATCATCTATACCTATTTATTCAAGGCAGGGATCTGACCTTTCTGGGCTCATTTGTTTCAGCAAACTTTGCTCATGCTACTCATGACTGCTCGTATTCATCGGACTTGCAAGATTAGAACATCAAATAACTGCTGATAATACAAAGACAGTGTAAGACAGGAGGAACAATAGTGTTTCTTCTTATGCAATTATCTTTTTTGTTTTTTTAAGACTCTGAGAAACCACTTCAATTATTTTGATCATTTTCCTGTCAGAGGTAAGTTCTTTAATTGGCCAGTGTACTTCTATAGATAGGAAGCTTTTCTGTGGTCTTTGCAAACCTCAATTAATACATTAAACCAGGTACTACAGTTCTACTAAATAATATTATTGCAATTATTTTATTCCATGTTTGTCAGTGTCTACCCAATCATTTTCTCAGCTGTACAGAAGAAATGCCACCCTGCAGGTTGAGCAACAGATCCAGACTGCTTCAGGGGATGGGTGGCTTCAGTCTTGTCCCTTGACCCCAAAATGACACTGTGGCCTGACCTATAAAATGTGGACAATAGAATCTATTCACCTTTGTAAACACTAGGGCAACATATGGTTGAATAGTAGTATGTAAATTTAAAATCTTAATTAAACTGAGGCAGACAGCCAAGTAATCACAAGGCACACACTACTTGAAACAAGCTCATTAATAGTCCTGCTGTGGAACCAGTTTCTTAATGGCTCAGTAATGAGCTAACTACAATCTGCAAAACCACGAATCTTGATAATTTTTTAAGTATATAATTAGATTGTGATAATGGCTTGAACTTGTGTGTGCACATGTAACCAAAAAACGATACCTCCAAGCACTTAACAGACTGAGACTTAAAATCTGCTCTTGTTTATTCCCAATTTGTATTGGTATAACTCTGCAATCATCTGTGTTACAGAAAGCAAGGAGGATACTCTGGCTTTTCTGTCAATACCCGGCACTGTGATGGGACATCAGTAGGATGTTTCATCTGTTACTTTCTGACCCCTTAAGCAAAAATGTTGTGTAACCAATCCACGTCTTCAAGTTCCTTCCCTTTCATGCTCCAGTCACCCAGTACTCCAACCAGACAGTTGCATTTTCTGTGAGACGAAATGCACCTGCAGGTAAGGCATCATGCTTAATCAAACGTGTCTCTTCATATGCAATGAAGACATTACATACGTTTGAGTAGGGTATCCTGCTCTTTCATTCCACCCTGGTTTTGTTAGTAGGAACATCATCCAGCAGCTTCACTACCAAAAAACGTCGAGATATTAATCTCCCTCCTTCCCCTCCTTTCTTCTCTCCTCCCTTCCAGCACATTATTAACCGAGGTCATCTACTCAGGGACCTCATTTTTAAGCCCCAAGGTAGATTTATATTTCTAATTTGCAAAAGCACAGGCCTTGCCTAATCTCTCTCCATTACACCACAGGTATGGATCTGCGATGGGGATGTGTTCACATTCGTGGCACACAGCTTAGGTAACAACACCCCATAAGGTCTATCTCTGGCTTTGGCTGCTCCACTTCATAATCTCTAGGAATGGATTAAATAAAACAGCACATACAGTATCTCACATTGCCCTCCTCATTCAACATGTCTCCTGTTTAGCAAACAGTTCAGCAGGAGTTTGCTGTCCAGTCACATGTCTACAGAATTCACCAGATACACGCTCTCCCCACAGCTTTGACTTTTCACAACGGCTACCTGCTACAGGAAAATGGAACTGCAAGGCCTAGGAGTTCAGCAGACACTTAATTAAGTTCTTAACTTAAATTAAGTTCTGCATTGAGAGAGCAGGACTTCTTTCAGGGCTCTTTCCTATGTCTACGTTGAATCCAATACAGTAAAAACTCCAGCTCTGGCTGCAGCTCCCCACAGATACTGCAGCAGTAGAAGCAACCACAGTCCTCATAGTGGAATGCAAAACTTACATATTTTGACTTTACTTCAATTATTTTCTGCATCTATAATCATAGTGCATTCACAAACAAAATCTAAAACCCTATAATCTAAATGAGGGAACCACTCCTCCACCGGGGAAGACAGAATGTTGTATTTTTTCCATTTTAAAATTGTTAAGAGGATAATTATATCCTATATGCAGTGAAAGAATGTTACTTATTTCTCAGAAAGATCAAATAATACTAAAGACTTTACTGAATATACCAACAGCATACCATCTTTGAAACTATTTATAAATGTTCAATGAATGAAAAATTAAATGAGACCAAAATAATCATGATGACAAAATCTCTGAATCCAAAACCTTTTCCTCAGCTTTGACGTTGGTTTAGCAATGTAATAGGGACAGTGCTCATTTGTTTTCTGTTGTTTACAGAGATGTCTGCCTGAAGTTATTTCAGTTACTACACCTGTTAGTGAAACTTCTCTGCCAGTAACTGTGGTTTTACGAGCAAGTTGGTTCTTTCTGTCAACTCAGCAAAACACTTGACCGACTCAAGTGAGTCCTTCTGTGCCATCCTAAGTCTTTCAGAGTCTGAAAAGATTTTAATCTCTGCAATGCCTTTAATTTTCAGTTACTAGGAGGCAAAACATGCTTCGATGCCTCATGCTGTAAAGTTTATGGGTGATTAACTCTACTACAGAAAAAATATTCAAGCAGCAATTCTTTCTGTCGCCATGAGAAGCTACAGGCCTTGCATTTGAAGCAGAGAACTGCATGTAAAGAAAACACTGCATTTGGCTGGGCCTCAGGGCAAGGGATGAATAGCAGCTACAGGAAAATATCCTCATCTCAAAGATCAAAAAGATGGCAACAATTGCGAGAAGGGTCTGTTAGTACCAGGCAGGTAAACACTAAATAGTAAACACTCTCTGTAAACACTGAGTAGAACTCCTCTGAGTCTGTACAGTATTTCCAAAGAACACAAATAATTCATGCACTCTGTGTGTTCCATGTGCTGGAGGAACCCAAGGGGTGCTCCCTACCAGACACAAGCCTTGCTTTTTCACTTGGATTCTTCCATGTTGATGCTTTCACTGTTCAGATCCAAAACAAAGAATATGGCTGCTATTTGTTCAGCAGGTCAGCAATGCCACATCTCTGTTATCAGCAAACCCTTCTGAGCCCATGCAGCATTGCTCTTATGGGTCACATTGATGCACAAAGGGAGGAGGAAGTTTACATGGTATTTTGCTACACAACTTTTTTAAACTCACAAAGCATTTCATAGGGTATGTATTTCTGTGAGGCTGAGAGTTCTGTTTCTAAAATCATATTTGAAGTACCTGCGACTTCCTCTCTCCCTTAGCCATCCAGCCCTTCCTTGCCTAACAAACTTCCTGTTCATCACTGTTCATCCCCAGAGATCCTTAGAGATGTCCATGGAGAGGTCCCAAAGAAGGGGATGAGCACCAGAAAACTCGTCTTTCCCCAGTTATTCTCACTGGTGTAGTTACCTAGAGAGTCATGCCCTCAAACCATGATGACCACAAGTTTATTCCCTACAGGCTGCGAGAAGCTCTGCTCACTCAAATAATAGCTGGGATACGGGGTGCAATGTAAACATTGCTTAACACAAACCCAGATCTTTGGGATTAGCGTCGCGGCTTCACATCACGCCGCTGGCCCTGGGCTGGGTGCAGCTCCTCGCAGGACAGCGCTGTTCCGTGCCGCAGGGAGCTCCTGCAGCCTCCCCGCTGTGCCAGCAGCACGGCCAGGGCGCCCCAAGGGCGCATCTGCTCACCCCAGCTCTCGTCTGAGGCGCTTCCCAGCCCAACCGAGCGCCGCAAGCCCATCTCCTGCACCCCGCAGCATCTCGGTCAGCTACGGCAACGCCTCCTTGTCCTCTGCCCTGCCACTATCCGGCACCTTCCTTCACCTCGGTGCCCCGGACCCGCAAGACCCTTCGGGGGCTGCCCCGTTCCCCGGAGGAGGAAGGGGCTCCAGGGCCTCTGGCAGCGACGAGGGTCGGCCCCTCCGAGGGAACCTGCGGGCGGTGCGGCGGCGGAGGGGGCGGAGACCGGCGGGGCTCCCGGCGCGGGGCTCGGCGGCCCCGGGGCGGGCAGGGGGCGGGGGCGGCGGCGCCCCCCGGCCGGTGAGGGGCCGCGCCGGGCGCTGGGGCGGGGTCTGCGGGCGCCGATAGGGCGGGCGGCGGCGGGCGCCACGTCGGCAGCGGGGACGGGCGGAGGAGTAAAGTCTGAGCGGAGCCCGGGCTGAGCGAGCCGCGACTGCTGCGCGGTGAGTGAGGGCGGGAGGGCTGAGCGGCCGCCGCCTCCCGGCCCCGCCGTCAGCCGGGCAGCCTCCCGAGCGCCCTCCCCGCGCAGGAAGGGAAACTTCGGGGGCAGGAGGCGGGAGGGCGCCCCGGCGGAGCCGCTGGCGGGAGAGGCGGGTCCGGGGAGCGGAGCCGCCGCCACCTGCCCCCGGCGCGGGCTGAGCCCGGCCGCCTTTGTGCTTCCTGCCGCGGCTCCGCGGGGCGGCAGCGCCGGGCCGGGCGTAGCGGCTCCGCCGCGGCCTTGGCTGCCACGTCAGGGCCGCCGCCCTGCGCCGCGGTGCCTGCGCCGGCCCGGCGGGGACGGGAGCGGGGCTCGCTGCCGGGCCGCCTCCGGAGCTCCGCCGGGCACGCAGGTACCTGCGAGGGGAGGACGTGGCGGCGGGGGCTGCGGGGCTCCGGCCGCCCTACGAGGGATGTGGGGCGGCTCCTTGGGTGCGGGACCGGGAGCAGGGGGGCTGTGCCCTGCAGCTGCCGCCCCCCGGGCCGGGCGCCCGGGGCTGAGCGGCTCCTGCTCCACCTGGGAGGAAGCCGTGCTCGCCTCGGCCTCGCTCCTGGGTGAGCTTGTTGACTCCCCCCGTGAACTTCTCCGAGCCGGGAGAAGCTTTCTTTCGGGTTTTCTTCTTTTTAAGCTTTGCTGTGTTCAGATGTCTGCTGTAGTAACCTCCCCTTTGTTTCATCTGTGTATCTCCAAGTCCAGCTCGATGGAGTAGGATATGAAGAGTTTTTTTATGAACTGTTAGGGACCAGCCTGGTTTTCCACATTCATCCTGTCTAGGCATGTATGTGGTGTGGCCTGGAAATAAAGGCAAGTTATTGTAGCCATACGACTGGTTCTGGTCACTGTGCGAAGTGCAGTGGCAACCTCTGCAGATTCAATTAAATGCTTCCTTCTGCTTGTTTAACTGGGCTGAAAATGAGAATTCTGATTCAGGATGTCACTCAGTAAGGAAGATAAATACCAAGTGCAGGTAGCCTGCCTCGGTGTGTTCACTGCTGTGCTTCAGGCGGCAAGTCCTGTATAATTGGAAGGCTATATGCAGGATAGCTTAATTTAGTATGTAAGTACTGGTTTGTATGCACATCAATTTTAAGACTGCTCAGTAAATACTATCCAGCATTTTTTTATAAATCTTTCTGTTAAACTGTGGTTAAATATTCAGTAAAGTTAATGTTGCCACCTCAGTATAGAAATGGACTGCGTTGCAAACACACAAACCGAAAAGCGGTCCTTGTCCAACAAGTGATCAGGTCCAAATGTAAGGCAGCAGCCAACGAACAGCTGGTGGATGCTAGGAAAAAAACTCCTATTTCATTAGCAATCATGGCAAGGAAGTTCAGAAGCTGCTTTGTTGTTCTGGCTGTTAGATACTGTTGGATTTTGTCTTTGAGGGCCTTCTGGAAAAGGAGGTCTGAGACAGATGTGGAGGTCAGGCATTGGGGAAGTGTTATAAGAAATGGGGAAGGCTTTGCTTCTGAAAACTGAGCTAGCAGGAGGCGAAGGGTGACAGGACTGGTACAATGCAGTTTTCATTGTCTTTTCTGAAGGTATGCCTTCCACCTTGCTGAAACTTACCATTAAATTTCTAGAAAACAGTTTTGGAGGAGTAGAAAAGGGGAATTCTGGTTTCTACAACCTTTGATTTGGTATCTTGTGATTGCCAACATCAGGTGTTCCCCAGAGCCTCTTCTGGAGCCTGGTCTATATTTTAGTTGAGAGTGATGGAGAAATATGATGTGGTAATGTTCCAGTCAGAGTTAAGGGGTTTTTTTTTGCAGGAGACATACCTCTGTTTTGCTTTTAATGGAGGTATGTGTTTGTTTTTTGATACAGATATGTGGCATTACCTTCCCAGCTGTGTAATGAACCCTGTAAACTGTGAGCCTGTTATGTACATTTCTTATGTACAAACTTAGTATCTCCTGGGGGAAGTTGTAGCCCATCCTCCTGTAGGCTTAGAATTAAGCTGTGGTTCACACCTGGAAACTTCTGATCAACTCTTTGTAATCTTTCTCTGAAAACTGTCGTCTTTATTTTAAACTCTGAAATGGGCATGCTTGCTTCCAAGCCAGTCCTACTGTATATGTAAATCTGAATTTTGAAACCTGGCTTTTAAACAGAAGGCTTGTTGAAATGCTAGCTATGCTCTTGGTTTTTAGCTACATGCTTTCTACGTGCCTGGATTTGTTTTTTTACTTTAGCTCTGTTAGCATTGACTCTTTCTTCTTGCAGAATTCTGCTCAGTCAACTCTCTCCCTTGCATTAACAAGCTGAAAACCACATTTCCATGTCAGCCGTGCGCTGAGGGTTATGGCTGAGAGAACAGCACTGGGCACAATTACTTGTGACACGTCACAAGTCCCAATCCAAGGTGTAAAGCAGGGAAGCTGATAGTGAGGGGTCTTTGTGCAGCTTGAAGCAGTACCCCGAAGAGCAGCTATGGGTGGGTTTACCTCTTTTTGGCTTCATGCTTATTTTCTTGTTTAATTTGGAGAGTAGAGCACTGTTTCAAAAATTTATTGCTTGAAGTATCATTCGTAAAAATATTTTTTTCCATGTACTTGAAATGCATTGGGTTCATTCATAAATCTGCTGCAGCTGCTGAAAGAAGGGGAGGAGAGCTGTGCATGTGGCAAGGGTTGATTCTTTTTCCATCAGCTCCATAGCCAAGCTTCCTAACTGCATAGCTGGTGGACAGAAAGAAGATAGCTTTTTTTGTGGTGGACTAAGACCAGGCGATGGGTTTGTTTGCAGTTTTGTCAGGTAGATAGTTCTAGCACTGTCTGCTGCTGCTGCAGCCGTCTGGAGCAGCATTGTGCTGCCACCTGAAACTGGCCCCATCCTTAGGTAGTTTCGTTGCTGCCCACAAATATCTGAGTAGTGGCATTGAAACAAGGTAGTTTTCACTGGCTGCTGCTTGGGCCAGGTTTGCTGTGCTGAGACAGTAGGGCTTTTTGTCTGTGAAGTCAGAAAGACATCAAGGGCATCAGCTGAAGCTCATGAAGTTACTCACACGTCTGTAATGAATAGAGCCCACTTCTCAATGGAAGGCTAAAACTTTACAAGTTGCTGTCCAAGGCTCACTAAGGAGTGGTTGTGTCTTAACATGGATTAACACACTTATAGCAGTCCTCATGATAGCACATGGAGCAAGTAAGATTTATCTCCATTGCCCAAGAAAACAGAAGGCATCAGTGTTTCAGTGAGAGAAATCTCATAAAATGTTGACATCTTAAGGCCATACCAAGTGTACTTCTTCCGTGCTGTGGCATTTGTATTTGATTCCCACCTTACACCCATGACAGGTATGTGACAGTGGCACTGTTCCATCAGATGTCATTAACCTTCTGCCTTTCTCACAGGTGTATGCAGAATATTTTTGTGGAAACAACTAACTAGAAATCTTCACAAAATATTATATTTGGTGAGTAAGTTTTATTTTAATTAGCTTTTATGTGAATGTATGTATAGTTGTACCACTACCTCTAGAGCTTCCTGACGCTTTCATTCAAGGTCTTATAACACAATGTTGTAAATAGCTCCTGAATTAAAAATCCTATTCTAAACAAATTTTTTTTACAACAGTCTAAAACATTTCATATTTCCATGTATTTCATATTTCCATGTATTTCATATTTCCATGTATTTCATATTTCCATGTATTTCATATTTCCATGTATTTCATATTTCCATGTATTTCATATTTCCATGTATTTCATATTTCCATGTATTTCATATTTCCATGTATTTCATATTTCCATGTATTTCATATTTCCATGTATTTCATATTTCCATGTATTTCATATTTCCATGTATTTCATATTTCCATGTATTTCATATTTCCATGTATTTCATATTTCATAATATGAAATATGTGTGCTTTCTTTCAAACCAATTGGAAGATTGACTTCCATTTTTATACTTTTAAATTTTTTTTTGTATGAAGGTTTTAATTTATTTTAATGTGTTGTTAAGAAAGATGAGAAGTTATCCCTTATTTGGATATATTATCTGTCCCTTATCTGCTTATATTATGAATAGCATCCTCCTAAGTACACAGGGGAAAAAGCCCAAAAGTAGTTTATGTTTATCACTTTTTGAAATCTCTTTTAAGATCTGGGTTTGCTTCCACTTCTTAACATGAGAAAACACAGATGAAGAAGGAAACTGAAGTGTGTCATTAATAGGCTAGATGTCTGTTTCATGAATGAGTTCTGCCTGGCCTCATGGAGATCCTACCTCATTCCATGTGATCATTTAATGCAGATGTTAAATAAAACTCGAGGCTTTTCCCCAGTGACACAAGTCACTGTGAATTTGGCATTACACGGTAAAAATGCCAAAGAAGGATGTCTTTGCTTGCTTTCCTTTTTCCTTTTCTTTTTTTGGCTAGTTCTAGCATATTTTGAAGAAGATTCTGGAAAACATATCAGAAAGCTTCCAAAGTTCAGGATTCTGATAAACCTTTGCCTTGCTGCATATGCTTGCAGTACTGGCAATCATTGTGACTAATGGTTCATTGCATGTGGGGAACTTTGAATCTGCAGTTTCCAAGTATCCAGGGTTTCTTAACCAATAGCATGTCTGAATGACCTCACCATCTGCACAAAAGTCTTATAGTTGCACCTCCAGATCAGTGCCTTAGGTGTTAGCTGAGTTGTAATCTCTCTTCGGTCTCATGAATTTTGTTTTCTTCTTCTTTGTGGGGACGCCTCTTCAGCAGGAAGCACAAACAGGAACCTCCCTTAGGATACACTGCAGTCCCCCTGTGACCAAGGGGCTCTGATGTAAAGTGGGACATACAAGCCTGGGTCTTAATTGACAAAGGAGGCATTGAATTGTAGGTGAGTGCTTTCACCTCGATGGTATTGTAAAATATAGTGAGTGGTAACTGCTTTTCTAACTCACATTTTTGAATAAAAAAATTATATTTCTGTCCTCTTTGCCTGAAGACTGGATGAAGTAATCTGCCACTAAGCAGTTACTCCAGGCCTTTGACTTCCAATCAGTAGAAATACTCTAAATCTCTGGAAGGGAGCCAAGTTTAAAACATGCTCCTCTCCATAGTATTTCCCATTCACTACATATGCACCCTGTTTAGCACACAGGATTTTTGGATCACTTTTCAGTCTTTTAAGTTTCCTGACATGTTAAATTGGATACAAGGATGCATGACACAGACTGTAACCTAGATATCTGAATATTTTCTGCAGAAGTCTTTTGCTGGATTTTGGCCTTGATCTGTAATTCACTGGAGAGCTTCTACCGAAAAAGACTTTTCTGACAGTGATGTGATAATGTTTTCACTTGCACTGATGCTGTAGGAGAAGAGCGAGTAAAACCTAGCACGGGCTGCTTAGGCACATCTCTTGCAGCATCATAGAATCATCAAGGTTGCAAGAGACCTTCAGGATCATCCAGTCCAACCATCCACTGGCACCTGTAGAACCACACATCATAGAGTAGTTTTCAACTTTCTGATCTGCAAACCCCTGGAGGCTCCCTTCTGTGTGGAACAAATTTAATCCTACCAAGAGTGACTTATTTCCCTTAGCTGATCTTCTCAAGCCTGTAGTTCTCCATTGCCTTCTGGGGTCTGAAAGCACCAGTTACCAGTGCCTGTGCTGTGGAAGATAGATACACTGTGATCTGTGTAATTGTCAGTGAAGTATTTCTGTTGCAATTGTTAAATCGTTGCTTTGCTCATTTAGCTTTGCAGGAACTGGAAGCAAATCTGACTGTCCGTCTGATGAGATTATGGAGAGTTAAGAAAGCATCTTTTACCTGTGTTGTCTGCCAGTCTTTAACTCTTTTCAGTGAACAGGTCTGGTCTTAGTTGTATGATGTTGTACCCTAGTACAACAGATTCTTGGGGCTTCATCTGGTCTGTATCTTCTGTCAGTGCTGCTGCATCCAATACCTTCTTAATAGCAGAAAATACTCAACCTTGTATGTAGCCTTGTGACAATTTCTAGTGTTCTAGCCATGTCCAGAACTGGTTACTTATTCCAGCTTCTCTCTGAACCTGTTGATAATCCCTGACAGTGTTTTCTCTGTCGTCATAAGATTAAATCATTTTTGTGAGCCTTTGTTGACAGAAAAGTTCTGGAAACTCAAACAGGTAATTTCTTCTGGGCTTCTTTTAGGAGTTACATGCTGGCTAGATACAAATATATTAGTGGAGATTGATCTTTATAAAAAATAATTTATCTCTTTACTCACTGGTCTCCCCTGAGTCTGCTTTAAAACTCTTTTGGTCACCTTCTCATTCCATTGTTTGAATTAAGGCTTACTAGGTTCTGAATTTTATTGTACTATTTTTAGGATTTTCCCTAATGCAGCAAATAAACTCCTTCCAAGTTCCTGACAGAGTAATCATCTTAATGACCAAAATGGCCACATGTTAAGTAGGAACGTAGTTGCTTCCTCTTGGTACAGATATTTTGATCTAATAATATCAGGGCTATCAGTTTCTTACAGCATCTGTCTTCTCTTTCTTATAGTGCTTTATATTTTTGTTTCATGTGTTAAGTCTTCAAACTTGTTGTCTTGCTACTCTACAACTTCCTGAGGGGAAGAGGAGAGGAAGGTGCTGATCTCTCTGGTGACAGTGACAGGACCCGAAGGAATGGCATGAAGCTGTCTCTGAGGAGGGTTAGGTTGGATATTAGGAAAAGATTTACCCAGAGAGTGGCTGAGTACTGGAACAGGCTCCCTAGGGGAGTGGTCACAGCACCAAGCCTGACAGAGTTTGAGAAGCGCTTGGACAATGCTTTCAGGCAAATGGTGTGATTCTTGGGACTGTCCTGTGTGTAGGGCCAGGAGTTGGGCTTTGATGATCCTTGTGGGTCCCTTCCAGCTTGGGATACTCTATGATACTTTCCTATTTCTTAGTTTACATGTTTGCATTTCTGGCTTTTGAGCAGTACTCAGTCAGCATTTCCATGGAATTGGCCATCCTTGTAGTAGGTACTTTTGCTTGCTTTCCTCAGCTTCTTGTGTAAAAGTACCCTGAGTCGTGAACTGATACTGGTAGTGCTGATTGTGAGGACTCTTTAATATCCAATTTAGGCTTGCTTCTCATCCAGAGATCATGATTTAGCATGTGGGTGCCACTTTTTACTGTGATGTTTTGACTTCATAATTATACTGTGAGAGTTTTAGCTGTTGTTTTCTAGGTGAGTCTTCCCACTTGGTTCTGCCTCCTCATTCCTTCTTCAGATCCCACCTATTGCTTTCTCACCCAGAGGAGGTACAGAGGGATCTGAGCACAGCAAGAGAGATGGGAATTATTTTTGTGGTGGTCACTGACTCCTGGAAGAAATTAAATATTTAAAGACTTGTGCAGGGAGAAGGGAACTAAAAGGTCAGTGGCAGGAAGATAGGATGCTGACTGGTATAATGCAACTTGTTTTTCCTTTTTCTCATCTTGGTGCCTGCTGAGGAGGGAAAGCAAGATGAGCAAGAGAGCTCAGGAGAAGAGGCAAGACTTAATAACAAGGCATGCTTTGGTGGGGGAGGAAAGCAGGAGGGAAACCTGGACTAGATATTGCTTTCTTCCCCTCCAGAGAGAAAACTCAGCTCAAATCAGCAGCTCCACTTACTTTCTCTGTGCTTCCTCTCACTGTCAGGGACTGCTGCTCTAGAACTGCTCTAAGAAACAGCTTTTGGCGTAAAGAAATCTTTTCTGAAATGTTTTCATTGGGAAGTTTTTGTGTAAAGTTAAAACAGTCTAGTTCTGCTGCTGTCACCACACCGTTTATGCAGTACTGTGACAAGATAAATTATGTGTTCCCATTGCTATTCTTCCATCTTGTTTTCATGGCATTTGTTCAAATTATGCTACAAGGACTTGTTTCTTTAAGCTATTGCTTTCCAGGTACCTGCAGATCTTATAGGCATGCTGCTGTCATTTCTCTAGTGTCCACCATCTCTGTGATCACTTGCCTTTTCCTTTTCACTGCATAAACATAAGCTGTTATGTAGCAGAGGTTGTTTTGTTTTCATACTGGTTGTCTTCCTGATTGCTTTTCAGGTTCAAGATGTACTTGGTGTGGGGTGGCAGCTCTCACCAAGCCTGCTGATGTGGTGGAGGGCTCCTTTTTCAAGTATTGAATCTGGCTGAAGAATGCAAAAGCACAGATTAAGAAAAGAGCAGCAGTTTGACAGCAGCTGCTAGCTTATCTAGTAAAGAAAAAGAAGCTCATTCTCTGTGGAACTTAAACTACTTGAATTTTGGATTCATGGATTAATTTATGCTTTGCCAGAAGAGATGTATAGCATATGTGAATTTCTTTTTTTAGGCAATAATGAATCAAACGGACAAAAATCAACAGGAAGTCCCATCATACCTTCATGATGAACCACCAGAAGGTATGTACTAGTGTTCATGATCTGAAGTAAATTAACCAGAAGTTCATTCTCTCTTTAAAAAATGGAAAATGGATCTGAAAGCTTTAACTTCTATTTAAGTAATAGTAAACAAGCCAGCCCTGGGTAGGGATAGGCATGGATTATTTTGCACTTCTGCATTATCCTGATTACAATAAAGATGCTGAGTATAACTCAGTAGACAGCTGTACCTGTAAATTATAGAGAAGATGGGCAGATACTGAAGGACTTAATTTGCAGATTAGTTTCTAGAGATATGAATTGGTCTAACGGGTGTTTATTTCTTCTGTTCATTATGAGAGATGGGAAGAGCCCAGCTTCACTTTTGGACACCTTGCTGTGTTCATAGTGCTTGTGACTTTTGAACAAGATGTTTTTAAAACTATGTAGAACTTTATTACCACTTTTGGAGACCCTTTTTCATCATACTGTGGTTCTAACTGCTGACAGTCTCATGGTTTCATAAAAACAAACACTCACTTGACTTTGTTAATGCAGAGACATCTTGGTCTCCTGAACCAAACGAATTGTAAATTGATTATTAGATCTGCAGAGGAAATGCAGTTGCAAATGCACAGAGTTCTTTCCAGGCTGTGGACTGGCAGGTTAGTGAAGAGTCCTGTTTGCATAACGTGACTGGAAGCATAGTAGATCAAAAGCCATTCTTGGTGCACAGGCTATCTGTGTTTTGTCTGCTCTTGCTTTAAGACCAAATGTGTTGGTTGTAAACGTGGGTGAGTCATGATTCCTCTCTATTTGTTGCTCTTCAGTTTATAATGGCCCTTTAAAGCTCTGTTTGTTTGTTGTTGGGTTTTTTTCCCTCAGCTTTTATATGTTGTATAACTGAATAATTCAGTTGAACAACAGTATTATCCACTAATTGTAGCAGAAGGGATTGAAGTGGAATAGCTCACTCTATTCTTAACAACTATAAGGCAAAAGACACAAGTACAAGAAGATGAGAGGGAGAAATAGATTTTCATGGCACAGTGATTCTTCAGCTCTCCTATACTTGAACTTGTTAGAGTATCATGGTGTGAAGACAAAAAATCTTGCTTCTTCTCGTCAAGATCTCAGAAGCATTTCTGATAGCAAATGCCAGATTGGAAACTATACCTTAATATGTGTTATCTTCAAGTCTAATTTTTAAGACCAGGTTTTGTTTGCTTATTTGGAGTTTTTTGCCTTAAAGATTGAATTGTGTTTTATACATGTTAAACCTCTTGTATAGAAAGCCAAGTGTGGTCTGAAAACTACAACCTATTCTTTGAGTAAGGCAGTGAAACAAGTGAGCATTTTTTCTTTTCCTAGAATATTCCCTAGGTTTTCCAGATGCAGCATAAGGGCAGAATTTGATAATTGGTTATTGCAAAGTTTCATTTAAAATTTGTGAGCGGTTAAGACTTATTTTCTTCCACACATTTTCTTATTTCATATTGACAATAACCAGTTTGAATATGAAGTTTAAATAGATGGAGAAAGTTGGTGTAGTTAGAGGAAGCAGAATGAAACACAGCTTATCGTAAACTCCATCCTTGAAGAGGCTTTGTCCTTCCAGTTCTGATTCACATGCACTCTTCCAGCCTTAGGAGTTCAGTTAAGATGTTGGAACACCCTTGAAGAACAAGCTGGGTTTGAATGTTGTACAAGGCTTCATATGTGATATACTTACACCATCACAAAAAGACGGCCAAATGTGGATGGAAGGCTGCTAGTTTAGTGCCGGCAGGAAGATCATCTCTCTGAACAGGCTGCCAAAATACTCCTTAGAGGAAAGGCTCAATTCCAAAACCAATTTGCAGCTTTCCGTAAAGATAGAAGTAGTTCTAGTTTGTCCAAATCACACTCAACAAGCTTGGTGCCCAGAGGCTTTAAAGAATGTGTGGAGGAAGCTTTTCTGCTCCTGCTTTTTGAGTAGTGCTGTTCGGATGCCGTATTCTCTGCTTTGCAAGCGGCGCCAACCTTTGCAACCTAAGTTCATTCGAACTCTTGTTCGTTGCTGGATTCCTTTCAGCAGGAAGCTGGCTGCAAGATAGCTTGATAGAGCCAACTCCTGGACAGGGAACTTGTGTCATTTTCTCCCTCGATTTAGGAATGATCTGGTTTACCTTCTTTTTCATACTGTTTAGGAAAAAGGAGACCAGGGTTGTGTATCCTAGAACAGAAATCAACTGGCAATAAAACTTTGCAGCTGTGGGGGTTCATTAGACCTCATGGACAATGCAAACTGGATGGTAATCAGAATGTGTCAGCCATTACCAGAAATTGTTTATACACTGTCACAGTCTGTATTTACACTTGTGAAATGTAGATGATGTCAAAGGACTGGCTTCCTGAAGTAACGTGAGGAAAAACACATTAAGATTACTTTTGTTTGTTTCTCTCTTGTAATTAATAAGTTAGTGATGATGGATCATTTCTTGCTGGCATCAGATCTGATTCACTGAAATCAGCTCTTAAAATTCAATGTGATAAAACTTTTATTCCTATTTCACCCTCATGATAGTGAACCAGATAGGTGGAAGTGAAACACTTTCTGAACAAATCTGTTACAAGCTCTGTAAGTCTGGCCACAAGAACCCTCTAGTGAATAATAGCTAGACATTGGATTTTGTAGCAGGCTTTGCATACTCCTTTCCCAGTGTGATTCTTTAAAGGCTTTCTGTATGTAAATAGAAATTCTGATCTCTGTGTGCTTGTGTTGGCCGTGCAATTTTGCTGGAGATTTTCATGTTGAAAGCTGCTGGCCTAGAATGAGCCAGCAAGGTATTACATGGCTTTAAGTAAAAGGCTGCAATATATGTTTTTAGGTTTCTTTCCTTACTTTTTCTGTTTATCTATATCAATTTCTTAAATAAGAGACTACTGTCAGCTGGAAGCACTTCCAGTATCTTCTGCTACCTTGAGCTGCACTATTGCTCTGTATCCTTTTTTTTCGTTTTTGTCAACCTTGTAAGAAATTCTCTCATTTGGGTGGCATCTTTTGTTTGAATTATTCCAGGCATGCACACAGGAGCTCTGAACTTCACACTTTTTAAATTAACTCTGAGTTCTGAGTCAGTCCTGGCATTATCACAAACTCATTGGCAGTGCAGGGAAAGTTGTTCACCCTAGGTTTGATTTTGCAGAGATGAGTGCTGGGAGGTGACTCTTGGAAATTGTCCTCTGGGTGCAAGTTGTCAGCAGTCAGGGCACTGGAGACAGACTTGTTCTGCTGGCTCTCCTAAGGCATGTCGCAGTGGAAAGCCAGTGTGTTGACAGGGCTGGATAGAGGTCTCTGGTGGATCTAGATCTGATTTTTCCGCTATCTCTCTAGGCTCCTTGTCCTTTTCCAAGTATGTTATTTCTGCTGCTGACTCCATCTTCACATCTGTTTCTTCCCTAGCTCTGCCCTTTGTAGTTCCACTTGCCCTTTGCTTGGTTTCCCCTGTTGTTTTTCCTGAAGAGAGACAGATGTTAAATCCCATATGTTATCTACAGGTAGCTAGAAAATAATTTTAAAAACCCAAATCCAAACAACTGTGCAACTCTTACCCTGCTTGTGTTCACTGGCTAAATCTTGCCATGGTTCTCTCTGAAATTGGTGAGGTATTGGCAAGGGAGGAGCTGAAAAACGCTTACCTGAACAATGTTGTTGTGAAAAGCAGAGATTTCCCCAGGTTCACCTTGCAGACAAGTATGTGTCAGGGCTACTGGTTTATAGATGCAGCAACTGATATTTTCTTATGTGCTTAAATACCACATTAACATACTGTTTCATATTGCTGTTTTTTCTTTCGATGATGCTTGTGCCATAGCAGGGGCTGGAATTGGAGTCTTGATTCCCTTTAGAGGCAAGGTGCATGTATCTCTTAGGATTTTGATGCCTACTTTAGAAATATAAAGTAATTCTGAAACAATTGGAAGGCAAAGTGGCTAATTCCAGAGGTCTTTCTATTGCTCTAATACTTTCTATTATTTCGAGGCTATGTAATTGTACCATAAATATGGAATAGGAATTGACTTACAAAGTACTTACAAAGCGTGAAACTGCACGAAATGCAGGTTAAACATAACATTAAAAAGAAAAAAAAAATTCTTGTGGTCAATAATATGCAGAAATCCTATGGTTGGAGACTTGGTTTTGTGCATCATATTGAAACTTCTGTTAAGAGCCTTTAACTCTTGCTATTAATGCCTTTGGGGCCACTTTTGGTATTTAATGAGCTTGTTTGGCCTTGGACTTTTCACATACACATGCCCCTTCTTTAGCCAAATTACAGAAAAGACCTTTTTGGAATAAAGTTAAATTTGTATACAGGATGAAGAAAGGAAGTGATACAGAAGACTTGGCATCAGTTTTGTCCTCATGCTTCTTTTGACAACTCTGATTGCTCTCATTTGTAACCTTCTCTTCCCTCTTTCCTGACCCCTGCACAGAACCCCTGTAAGCACATCTTCAAAACAACAATTACTAAGGAAAGAAGTAACTTTGTCTCACGGTGTCCTTTTCAAAGAACAGCTCTTTGTTAATAACTTTTGCCTCTGCTTCACCAGGAAATTTTTTCCAATCCTTCCTTAGAGATTTGAACAGCAAGGTGGTGCTGCTGCCTTTTGAGGGTCTCCCCTCTGTGGGCTAACTCAACATTAGGATGGGGGCCATAGGAGGATGTGTCATTTCTCCCTCATTATAAAGTCCAGAAATGAGACTGATTTGGCCATGAGACTTTCCAGAGTCTAGGAAAGTAGTGGTGCATACAGAGGACAGAAGTTTGTCAGGTCAGACTCTCTGGGAGTCATATGCCTGGTATTTTTAGACTCAGTATTGACTTGTTTTGTTAGAAAACAACACAGAGGTATGTCTTGCTGCAGCAAAGTGTCTTTTGTTATTTGGAACTAGGTGTTGTAGGAGCATCCCAAAAGAGCAGCCTGCAAGGTAAGTACATGCTGTGTGCAGTGTCTGTTAGGCTAGAAAAGGAAATACTTACGCATAACTCTTTTGAAAATGCTTTAATCATAGCACTGAGACTGATTTGTTTGTTGTTCCTTTCCTTAGGTTCACTAAAAGACCACCCGCAGCAGCAGCCTGGGGTGCTTTCTCGTGTGACTGGTGGCCTCTTCAGTGTCACAAAGGGAGCTGTTGGTGCCACAATTGGGAGTGTTGCTTGGATTGGAGGGAAGAGCTTGGAAATTACCAAAACAGCGGTGACATCTGTGCCTTCAGTGGGAGTGGGTCTAGTCAAAGGAAGTGTTTCTGCTGTAGCTGGAGGCGTTACAGCTGTAGGATCTGCTGTTGCAAGTAAAGTGCCTTTAACAGGAAAGAAAAAAGATAAGTCTGACTAAAACCAAAACTGAGACATAACTCAATTCTCCAGAATATTACATCAATGGCATTAAAATCTGCTAAGAGTGGGACCATGAGAAGCCATGTGTCTTAGACACTTTATCTTCCAACGAGTTGTGCAAGTAACTCGATTTCATCTGAAAAGGACAGAAGAAGCTTGGTTAGCACAGCGTAAGAAGATTTATTAGAGCCTAGATTGAAGCTTTGTATCTGGTGAAATGTTACACTTGGTAACTATAGAAGTAAGTGTATCTGAAGGAATAATACATATTTGAATATTCATTTACTGTAAGTCTTCTGCAGTTTTGGACTAAAATGTGAACATAGAAGCTTGGTCATCTCTGCTGTACCACTGATACAATGAGATGCCAGTTCCTGTTCTCAGTGGTTTCCACATGCTCCTGCTAAGGATCCTTCAGCTGTGTAAAATCATTGCTGGATGTACCCAAACAGTCTTGGTTATGAACCTGTATTTTTAGGCAGCCTGTAAACTGTCCCTGACAGCATTCTGCCAGTGCAGACTGGAGCAAATAGAACTGAAGGTGTGCAGAAATGGGAAATGAGTGGGAGATAGAAGTGAAAAAGATTGACAACATGGTAGAAGGGATCACAAAGAGTAAACTAACTTAATGCCTTATTAGAAAAAATATCTTTTTACTAGGTGAAGCTGTGTACAGAACTGTCTTGTCATTTCAGTGCAGTTCCCAGACTGAGCTTTAGACTCTTTACAAATCCTGATAGCTGAATTTTTTTGTCAGTTTTTACTGAAAATACCATTGCTCCATCTCAGGTGTATTTAATGATATGCATCTATCTCCTGCAGGTGAAAACTTGCTTCTAATACATTTTTTATAGACACTAGGAAAAAAGATGGCTTAATGGAAACTGGGCTGATTGTTTGTGGCTATCTAGCACAACTGTCTTACTTGCTAGAAATTCCTTTGTGTAGTTGGAAACCACTGAAGAACTAGCAAAGCTGTTGTCTCAACTTCGTGATGCACCGGGTTGTCTTCTTGTTCTGTTCAAGCAAATGCAAGGAATTTTTCGCTACATCTCTTTCTCATACTTTACATTTTGATTTTTGAGTAAAACGTAATACTTTTATTTAAAACAAACCAAAAAAGGTAGATGAGGCCTTAAAGGAAAAAAAAAAAGAAACATCATTCCAGTAATTTGTATACTGACAGGTTCCAAATATTGACACACCTCAAATGGGAACATCTGTAGGTCTTCTGTAATGTGTGAGGCAAAATGCACTTGTAAAGACACAGCTTGAGGTTGCCTTAAAATAGAAGCTGTTGATGATCTTTTATTTGTGTACTGACTTTGCAAATAAGTAACCTCTTTAGAAGCCCATAGAAGGCATCTGTTCATGTCGTTTATGCAGTATTTTCTACAAACTTGTGTTCCTATGGAGAACTTGTAAGCTTACTTTTATAGTGTCTGTGGTTGTACTAGAAGGATATATGGGGGGACTTTTTAAAAATGGAAAAAAAAAAGAAACATATCACTTGTCTAAAACTTAGTCCTCTGTTCATGGGTGTTGAATGTACACTATGTCTAAATTATAGTACAGTAGTCACCCAATCTCTCTGAGCCATTGGTACTTCAACTGCACTCTGTAATTAACAACTTTATTTTAGATCAGTAATTGTGTATGTTGGAAGCATGATACTCATAAGCATGGGAACATGGGGTGGTGGGAAGAGCATCTGCCCTTTCTGTTAGATGCACCAGCTGCTTAGTTCCAATCTCCTGCAAGGGCGTAACAAGGTAAGTTTATGCAACAAACTGAAGACTTTAACTGCGTTTTATAGTCAAAAGCTAATTGCATAGAATATAGTATGGTTTAAGGGTACCAGTTAGCTCTAGAAATGAGCTAGCCTGGGTATCCGAGGCAATCTAGCTGCAGTGTTTAATTTAGTATGGTCTGCTCCTCTGCAGTTTCCAACGTAGCCATATCCCCAGAGGGCTGCCACTGAACTCTTTAGAAACTGTCTGGAGCACAGTGGTATTTGTGACACCCAACTAAACACCCTTCCTGATAGTTTTTTGAAAACATGAATGTTGAACTGGTCATACCCTTTTTTTTTTTTTTAATTATATTCCTTAATTGTTAAACTATGAAACTTGCAGCAAAACAAGTGTGGTCTGAGATAAACAATGTTAGATCTGTAAAGAGCTGCCAACACTTCATTATGTTTTGTTCATAACATATCCTGTAGCTATTGCTTCTGAGTCTTGTAACTGAAACACTTTTACATGGCGTATGGTTTTAGTTTTCAAAGAGCTTTGTCCTATATCCTGTGTATTTTCCATTCACTTATGAAATTTGCTTGATCTTAAGAACTTGGCCCGATTCTGTCCTGGCACCTGTGAAATATTAAATTGTTGCTGTTTCAGACATTTGAAAGCTTCCTTAGTTTTGTGGAGAGGGGCATACTTAGGTATAAATCTTCTCACAGCGTCATGCCCCAGAACATCTCTTATTTGCACCTACCTAGTGCCAACCAGCTCTTAACAAAAACTGTAACTTCATTGTGTAAGTTGTTCACAGACACAGCACAAAATCCCTTGCACTAATTTTCTTTTCAATGAGGTTTGGGAGTACCCACTTTTAAGATCATAGTGAGCTGAATGGAATATGGAATTTAAATTTTCAGGGCGAGTGGGGTTTTTCTTGTGGGTTGGGGTTGTTTTTGTCGTGGCTTTATTTTACTCTCCTTTTCCCAGCCCCCAGTTGGAAAGGGGAAATGTTTATGAAGGCACCTTATATGCCTGACTGCTCGTTCTGTAACAAAAGGCTTATCTATGGCCACATCTTTATGTGCCAGACTAAAACAGTACAAACTGGTTCACGTTCACTGTGAGTAACAAAGAGACGAGGAAGTGGATTTCAGCAATACAATGTTTTGGTGATTGGGAGGTTCCCTGAGGTTTTATTACAAGTGAATCCTGTGAAGAAGAGAGAAACAGGTCCCAGGCATAGAGTTATGAATAACTGACTGAATTTTCATCTGGTGGTAGAGAAAAAAAAGCATTTCTGCTCATGCTTTTGTTTTGAAGGGGGAGGAGGAGAAATTGAAACATTCAGAATAGAAAATTTGTGATAACTCAGGCCATGATTGACTCATGGAAATGTGTCCTTTTCCTGTTCTGTTGACACTGAAGATATTGTAAGTGATGGGAATAAGCTGTTTAAAGAACTTTAAAAACAGATACCTGTAGAAATGCTGAAACTTTTCAGGGAAAACACTGTTCTGGTCTTGGTTTCCTTTTCATCCTGAAATCACCAGCTAGGTCTGTGGCTCAGTAACAGATTGTGTTATGAACAGCTTCAGAGAGCTGAAATGCCCCCTTGTGTCTGAGGGGAAGGAGGATTTTGAATCCAAATAATATTGCGGTCTGCCTAATAGCTGAGCACGGAATGACAGAAAGTGGCAAAGGCAAGTTCCTGTGAGTTTGTAGTATGGCTGTCTTCCCAGTTCCCTCATAAAAACCGATAATGTGTTTTGAAAGAGTCAGCAAAGACTCAGCCTAGTAACACAGCCTGACTTTTTTCATGGTGGGGATACATGCCCCTTCTTACATTCTCGACACTGTTGCACGTGCTCCTGCAGGAGCGGCATTTACCCACACGAGCCTGCGGAGTGGTGAGTTTAAGACCTTCAACTGTTGAGATCTTGGCACTGCTCTCACCAGGTGTTTCCAGCCCTTTCCAAGCTCACAGCAGATAATGTGGCAGGCTATATAAAGTCATCATCTTGCAGCCCACCCTGTAAACCAACGATTTAATACCAGCTTTCTTCGGCAATTTAAAACTTCACTTTAAGAAAAGGAGGCCTGGACTTGCAGCCAAAATGTGTGTTAAAAATGACCTTGAAGAATGGCCTGGAGTGAGGGGGCTGTGTAACTGCTTTTTCTCCTCCTGTCAAGAGGGAACATGTGTGGAACAGTTGCTTAGGAAAGTCCTTCTGAGAAATAAAATCACTGATGATCCTAATTCTATTTAGATGATCAGCAGTGATGATGCTGTTTTATATTACCATTCACAGCCTATAAATGAAAAGAAATCAAATTCCCTGAGAACTTAAATGCTGTCTGATAGTTACTATTTTGAAAGCCAGCACTTGTTGACAGTTATCATTCGGTGTTATCTGAGAAGCAGTGCCACCCATATATTTAGAAACTGTGGCAGCTGTTTGAAAATCTGGTAGTCATTTTTAATCACCAGTGGTTTACAGACTAGAGTTTTGTTATACCTAATATAAAAACATGGCTTTTTCCTTTCTCCTGCCGTCATTTGAGACTAACCTCAGTCTCTCCCTAATCTTTCCTGTCCCCAAACCTTGCTAGAAAAGAAGAAATTAAGAACTAGCAATAAATGTTTTTCCTCCTGCCCCAATTTTTATGCAAAAGAAGTAAATTTTGAAGTCTCAGAAATGTAAAGGAGGCTGTCTTGTAGTTTCTTTGCATTATGGTTTGTACACAAACATATTAGGGTCTTGCTCTAGCAGTCACTGAGTTAAAAAAATTATGTCCTGCCCCTGTACTCAAACTGCACTCTGGCTAGGCATTCCTAACCAAAGAATCAAGTCTGTTGCAGGTCAGGATCCAGGAGCTAGAGCTACTTACTGCAGCCATAAGGAATGGAACCCCAAGAGAATATCCTGAAGTCAGCGAAGCAGTGGGTTGCTGAACACTGCTAGAAAAATAACCCTCTTTTGCTGTTTTCAGACAAAAACTGTGCTAATGACTACCACAGGATGGTCTGTGCAGAGACAGCTGAAAATCCAAAGCAGTTAATGCCCTGTCAGGTAAGAAAATGTAACGTGAGGTACTCTCTAGAAAAAGGCAACCTTTACCATAACGAGGTTCTGTGACAGTATTTGAAAGCGTTAGAACGGTACAAGTGTACAACAAAGTTGTGCCTAAAACCCCCTCCAGGACAAAGTACAGCATAAGACTACAGTTTGGGTAAGATTACTTTTGTTTCATCTAAAAAAATCAACTTTTATTTTGCATACAGCATTCAGGTTAATCTTCTATGTGTATAGGGGCAACGGGATTAAAAATTGGTCTTTCCTTCTTTGATTGTATCTTTCCATAGGTGACTTCAAAATCTTTCTTGGTACCATTCAAGCTTTCTAGATTTCCACTCTTTACGTCATATCCTAGTGCGGAGAGCTTTTTAATTCGGTACTGAACAATTTGTGTTGTCAACTCCAGCACCATTGGTGTCTCTCTAATCTGTGCTACAGAAATCCCTTCCTTCAGTAGTCCTTCAAGTCTTTCTTCCAGAACTGGAACAGAATAGTAGAGAAGGGCTGGGCATTTCAGCACTAGTTCTTTTAGTTCTTGATCACTGCAATTAAAGACACTTTTGGAAAAAAGCATACTCTTCTGCATAGTAGTAGAATTAAGTTGAAAAATGAAGCCTTTAAGTTTAGACAGCAGCTGTAGAACTTCATGGTCAGTGAAGTCATTCTTCTGGAGAAATTCCAAGTTCTCCTGGATTGTGGTGGAGTTATTTAATAAAATAAATGGATTTTGGCTCAATAGTTTCAGTATCCAGATCTTCATATTTGCTTCAGAACCTCCTAAATTTAAATAATTTCTTTGTAATGTCTCTATCACATTTTTGTTTTTCTCAACAGGATTATAAAAAATATTGGGTGCGCTTGTCAAGAACCTGGTGATTATATTATTCTTAAGTCCTAGCTCTTGAAAAAACATTATGTTTGCCTTCTGATTCTGGTGATATTTGGTAGTAAAAAAAGACTCTGGAAATTGCTCTATTAATTTAATCAACTGTTTTTCATTCTGGCATACTAATTGCCACAGAGCTCTTTGAGAGTTTATCTCTTCAGGGGTGCAGAGAATTGCCTCTGGGCAACGTTCTAAAATGTTGGCTACAGCGGTTTCATCTGCTCCCATTTCTTGTAAGATCCCAGCAATTTCTTTAACATAGGCCACATCCTGGAGAAGGACCCATTCCTTCAGTCGGCGTATCTTCTTAACGTCAACTGACAAACTGTAGAGACTCTCAATGGTTTTTTTATTTTCCTCTCTTGACTTTGTATCAGTTGTGTAACTGGAATGTATTAGGAAGCTTCTGCTTGCTGCTTCAGGCCATACTGATGAAAATATCAATCCTGGGTTACAGCGCTGAGATCTTGAGGACAGAAGAGTGAATGTGTCTTTTGCAGCATGAGCGACTCCTCTCAACATTGTGGAAGTCAGCCCTGTGGAGACAGAACAACTGTAAGAAAACACATTTAAAGAATTAGTTAATGCTTAGAATTGTTCATGTTTAGACAGAGCTGGCATAAGAAATTACTCTCACCAGTGCTTTTGTTACTAGCTCAAAATCCAGCTTTCACACGAAAGCGAGAGGGGAGGAATATTTTTGAAAGGTTAATGTTCTGACGGATGTGTCACTGGAACAGGAACGTGTCTGCAAGAGGCCTGATGGAGGGGCAGTGCTCTGTCCATATGAACGCTTGCAGTCATACAAGATCCAAACTGTCAGCCATTTTCTGCAGCTAACACAGTTATTACATTACAGATCATTTGCACCATATGAGAAAAATGATTCACCCAATTTCATTTGACAGTCATCCCACTAAACTAATAAAAACAGCAGCTTAAATATCTTTCTTAACTCTTATGAAGGTATTTGCTTGAACTTCTCAAGCATCATTTGGAGTGTGACTTGTTCCTTCGTGTGTCAGAGACAGCCCTGCTCAGTGCTGCTTGCAGTTCGTAGCCTAACTTCATTGTGAAATCATCCTTATTAAGGAAAGAAAAAAAATCACAGAATCCTTTATGGATGTGTTTTTCACTAGTCGAGTCTGCTAATTGAGTTCTGAATAAGCACACTGGTATTTTGGGGGAGGGAGCAAGTACACTAACATTTCCAGGTGCTTGCTTCCCTCTCCCAGCACCTACTTTTCTACATCTGCTTTTTGCAATGATGCCTTATTTCTGGCTTCAGGTCACTTCTGTTGTTGCCAGCCAGTAGGCAGAGCCCTTGTGGAATAAGTGCGTGGCAGTATTGGAGTCCACATGGGAACCCCAGTTTTGGGGAACCCCACGCCTCACCTTTGCTCAGACTGGCTGCTGGGTATCACCAACAGCCTATGCACTGTCACCCGCTCTGCAGTGGCCAAAGGAGTCACATCAGTCAAACAAAGATATCATCAAATATATCTTTAACTTCCTAGGTGGTGTTTTCATAACAACCCTTTGGAAGCACCAAGTCTGAAAGGGAAAACTGCTGATCTGTGAAATACTCGGCAAATGGCTGCTGCTGGTAACATGCTCAAACTGCAAAGAAGAAAACAAATACAATTTTGCATTTAACAGTTCTCTTTGGACAGTTGCTTTCACCTCTTTGTAAGTATAGAATGCTTCAGAAAGTGTCTACATTAGCATTCTGTTAAATTACTCTGGTTGTTTTGGGTTTTTTTAGATGAGAAATTACTGTTATGATCATGCAATCTAATCTCCTACAGAACAGACTGAGAAACCTGTCTTAGGAACAGTTATACAAGATTCCTAGAGTCTTCCTTATAGTCTGTCTTCCAAGAAAATACCTGGGTTGTTTAGAGAACTTGACAGATCCTCCATCTAATTGCCAGGTAAGGTTAAGTATTTTCTAGAGGTAAAATACTTTATCTCAAGAAGGTGTATCTTTGCTTTTAGGTTGCTTTTTTATGCTTCTAAAAGCTGGACTCACGTTACTACATCATAAACTAACAGAATAATTTCCTATATGCAAGCTCATGTTATTAACAGAAGCTGTTTACTGGTATCATGTTGTTTAGTATTACTTCAAATCTCTGAGGCAAAATCCGATTGCCTAATGAAACTGCTTGTGTCGTAACCCCAAAGCTGATTGTTTTGTCTTCATAAACTTTGTGACTTGAGAAGTGCTGTCCAGCAAGCCCCACCACAGAACAAGAGATTTTTCCCAACAGCCCTGAAAGCACTGGAAGTGTAGGTAAGTCACAGACGTTTTGTGTGCTGACCTTTCCGTGTCCTGAAAAAGTGACTTTATCAGGGGAATGCAAACGAAAGCCTCTCCTCCACAGGGAGGAGACAAAACTGCTCTGTCTGAGCACAGAATTTAGTGGGTCCAGTGAAAGTAAGTAAATCTCTGAAGGATCAGGGCTCTCTTCATTAATGCTTCAGCCCAGCTGGAAATTGCCAGCAAGTATTGTTAAATTTGTTTGGGATGTCAGATGATACAGTACAAAGTGGAAAAATAGCCAAGACTTACTTCAATATGCAGTCCTGCTGTTAAACAAAATTGTGTTGTGAGTAATGCAGCCACTTAAAATACAGTAATTTTTACTATTACAGAGCTTTTAAAAAATTCTGATAAATTGTGCCCTTCCACAATCTAACATGGAAATGACTGTTATGCTCACTTCAAAAAGGCTCTAAGTTTTCTGAAAACTTTTGACATCACAGTCAATCTTTTTCCCTGTTGGTGAGGATCATCAGAAACACAAAATACTATAAAAGGAAAAAAAACTTTACTTGCTGAAATGCATTTGACTGGGGTACTCAGGAGCCCATGTAAGTAAGCACTATGCAAAATACAACATACAAAAAAATAACATGAATGACATAATGTCATGGTGTTTATAGAAACCAAGATGATGATTAAGAGTTATGATTTAGTGTATTTCCAAGCCTATAGGTGACAGTATCACATTTCCAGGGTATGTAACCAATTCCAAGAATTCAGAGTTCTTTTAAAGCTCATGCTGGATCTAATGCATGCTCTAATGTGCAGGACCTCACTGTAACTTTTTACATACTTATGTTGCTGTGGGGATTGTAAATCAGTTGAGAGATTAAGAAAAAAAAAGCCAGCTCAGTTGAGATGTTTGCTCTCATGGCCAGCAGCACCCTCCTATCATCAGGTGTTAGAAGAGCAATTAGGAAATGAAGTAATATCTATCTGGAAGTACCTGTGATCCTGCTTGCTAGAGACCTGTATATACAGAGTAAAGGGGTGCTGTAAGTTTCAGTATTTAATTTTATCTCATTTAATCTCATTATTTCTGAGATCTTCTAAAGGAAATGGATATGAGGATCAGCTGGCTGATTCATCCCTCATTTAAATTTCTGAAGGTGTGTTTTAAGACTCAAATTTCATGTTTAAAAATTAGCAACCTCTTACTCATCTTGTATTTTTCAACTGCTACTTTGTGCTGGTCACTACCATTCTCATTACCTCGCCACAGCAAATATAGTAGGCTGTAGAAAATTAAATGAAACTTCAGAAAGCCTAGATTGAACTTTGAATTAACGAGGAAGAGTAGGTATCTACCTAGAAGTGAGCGGTGTACACAGGATTTGAATGGTCTGTGAAGAAATCTAGGGGGGCGATATGTAGTGGTTTTGTAGATTAATGCACAACGGAATAAGTGTTCATACTTCTGCAGTTATAGACAAAAAATGAATCCCTGCTTTTGCATCATTAGTGGAAATGAGGCAAAGAAGGATTACAAGATATGCTAGATCAACATAAAGCTTTCTAGAAAAAACAAATCAAAACAAAACAAAACAAAAACCCACAGAGGATTCTAGAATAATCCAGGTTGGAATGGACCTCAAGTGCTCAAAGCAGTACTATGAAAAAAGACCAAGCTGATTTGTCCATGGATGAAGCCCACCCCGCCTTTCAGGGTTACCTGTTCTACTGCTCAACCGTCTTCGTGGGGAAAAAGCTTCTCCCTGTATCTAGGAAAAACATTTGCGATGTGCTTAAGGACGCACCGCACTATTTAAACCAATGGTCCTCCAGTGGTGCTTTTAGTACCGAGAAAACAAGGTTCTCTATCGCACCCTGCTCCCAAAGCCCGGCCCGCGGGACGATCCCTCTCTCCCCCTCTGGCCTCCGCTTGGGGGCGGAGCGGCAGCAGGCGGATGTCTCCCTGCGGCCAGGACGGGAGCAGAGGCTGGCAGGCCCGGCAGGCCTCTCTCCGTGCGCGCCCCGCCGCCGGTTATCCCGCTCCTGCCGGGACCTCCCGCAGCCGGTTATCCCGCTCCTGCCGGGACCTCCCGCAGCCGGTTATCCCGCTCCTGCCGGGCCTCCCGCCGCCGCTTATCCCGCTCCTGCCGGGGCCTCCCGCCGCCGACAAGGAGGCCCCGCGCCCGGGCGCCCTCGGAACCGCGCGGCCTCTCCCGCTGCATCCCGCCCCCTCCATCCTCACGGCTTCCCGGAGAGCGGCCGAGCCTCCACCCGCCCGCGCTCACCGGCCTCAGCGCCGCCGCCCGGCCCCGCCGCCGCGGGTTGGAACGGGGATGTGCCCTGGGCGGGAGGCGGTGACCGGGATTGCGGGCGGCAGGGCGTGCTGTCCCACGGCACCCGGAACTCACGGCCTCGTCTGCGGCGAAATCTCACGGCGTTCCATCGCTTGTTAGAGCAGCGTTTGATGGGACGAGAAGGAGATAGAGGGGGTTGGATTAAAACAGCTCTCAGAGAGAATTAGAGCGGTAAATAGAAAAAAAAAAATACTTTGACAGTCAGTCATTCTGAAGTAGTCTGATGGCAAAGAGTCAAGTATTTTAAGGTTAGGCTTGGTGCCTGTATTCCGATGGGAAGCAAATTATTAAGAAATTCTTTACAGAGAGGGTAATCAGGCACTGGAATGGGCTGCCCAGGGAAGTGGTGGATTCTCCATCGCTGGAGGTTTTTAAGATGAGACTGGATGTGGTGCTTATTGCCATGGTCTGGTAACCAGGGCAGTAGTGGATCAAGGGTTGGACTTGATGATCTCAGAGGTCTTTTCCTACCTGGCTGATTCTATGATCCTTTTGATTTGGTAACACTGAATGACGATGGGTGGTTTGTCTTACATCATCATATTTTCTTCCATATGATCGCTGCCTTATTACAGATTAAAAAAACATAAATTCACATATGTAGCTGTTGGGTCTATAGTGTTTTGGCTGGTAGCATTTCAGAACTGTGAAACAGAGTTTTGAGCTGTGATGATGAGAACCACCTTCCTCTACCTTTTTGGACTAGAAAGATTATACTAGGGCTGTTTGGAATTTTTGAACTAACTCTACGTCTGCACAATCACATCCTTCAGAGAGTGAAAATTACTGCTGTTCCCTCTGGGAATACTTCTTTTGTCAGCTACGTGTTCAGTAATCTGTGCTGCATCTGTGAAAAATATCAGTTGAACTCAGGAGAACTGCTACCAAAAGAAACCGTGCTGTAGGAACGCAGTTCAGGCTTTATCTCCTACATAACAGCTGTTTCAAGAACAGTTAACGATGTTTGTAAATGTAATTGCATACAGTGATGTTAAAAACAAGCATCTAAAAAATGCTTCCAATTTGTAATACACAATGTATTGTATATTTGCTTCTTTCTGGTTTTGTTGCTTCATGCCTTCATGGTATCTTTTTTCCCTTCTAATTGCTCCCCACTCTCCTGATTTTTTCATTGTCTGTAAATTAGCTAAATTAGCAACTGTTAAAAAATAAGTTATCCACAAGAGAACACAGTAGCGAGGTTTACTTTTATGAGTTCCTTGATTAACTGTGATTCTATTTTCTTTTCCAACTAACTTGGAGAGACTCTTCCCTTGAGATTAGATATTTTAATTAATACGTTCTTCACCTTCCTTCCACTTCTAAATGAAGAACAAAGTGTCTGACATAGAAGGTATGGCTAGAGCCACATAGTGTTTTGACATAATGATATGTTAATGACATACTACAGTTGTTATTTAGCCTGTAGCAACAAACAGCTTACAGAGTGATGGTTTTCATGGTTGCAATTTGCTTATGAAGCCATAAGGTGTAGTGAGGCAGGGCTGCTTCCACCTCAGTATTCCTTCAAGGCAGATTGGTTGATACTGGACTTTATTCTGGGCCATCTTCAGTGTGGCAGCCTTGTGGGAGGCTAGCAGGGAACATAAAGAGTATGAATGAGTAGTTTAAAAGTCTGAAATAAAAACTATGTTGCGAGGTGACTTTCCTTGAAAATAAGGACTCCTTCAATGTGCTCAAAAATTACAGAATTCGAATGAGTTTGATGGACAGTGGTCATTGACAAACATTTCCTTTTTCTGTTTTATTTCTTTGACAATTACATACCAATGTTTGGCATTTCTCAAGGATAAAAATTAGACAAACAAAAAACAGGCAAGGAAGAATGTACTTCATATTAGTTGAGAAAAGAATGTTCAACTTTACAATGCCCCAAACGACTCCAACCTTGAGTTGCAGGAAGCGTGTATATGACAGGATCCCATATAGTCTTCTGGGACCAGAATGATGAGCTGTGGAATATGATGTTCTACATACAACAAAGTAATAATTGAAAAATTCATTATATTTTATGCTGTTGTTAAAGTAAATGCTTAAGAACTGTTCAGCCTCCATACTTTTTACGAAGAAATTTTGTGCAAGACCAAATAGAAAGGGATTCTAATCATGACTGGGTCCTTTGCTGCTAGCATACCTTGATCACTGATGGCGTTTTCAACCTGCTGAAAGGAGCTTGTAGCCAGGTGGGGGTCGGCCTCCCAGGCAACTACTGACAGACAGGAGTACGGAGCCTCCAGCTGCACCAGGGGAAGTTCAGATTGGACATCAGGGAGAATTTCTTCATGGAAAGAATTGTTAAACATTGGAATGGACTGGCCAGGGCAGTGGTGGACTCATCCCTGGAGGTGTTCAGGAAATGACTGGACATGACACTTAGTGCTATGGTCTAGTTGACAAGGAGGTCGTAGGTCCAAGATTGGACTCGATGATCTTAGAGGTCTTTTCCAAGCTAAATGATTATGTGATTCTGTTACTCTGTTTATTAAGTCAAAGTGAGGAAAGTGTGAAGGGACTTTGTTGACTTGACGTATACTTTCCATATATCTTACCAGAAAAAATATTTTAGGAGAAAGAAAACCTACAGTTTTTAAAGTACTGTGCTGGTCTGGTCTTTTGGAAGGCAAGAAAGGCCAGTACTGCTGATTAGAGTCCTCTGTCTTTTACTTGAGACATTATTTCTAATGACAACACTCTTGCTGTTGCTACCTACTTGTCCGCAAACACCCTGGAAGCTGTAGATTTGAGTGGCAATCCACAGGTGGAGGTTTATTTTCACATCTGCAACTAGAGCTGTCTTGTTAAGACTCGAAATGGCTCTACTGAGTCCTATCAGTGCGATGCCTTCACCAGCTGCTGGCCGTGCCCCGCTTAACCCTGGAGCAGGTACGGGGAAACCTGCTGTGTAGGCAGCACACAGACCGTGTTTTGAGCTCTGTAATTAAAAGACCTGAAGATATTCACCATTTACTGATAATGACTTTAAATACAGCACTGGAGAGACAACTCATTCAGCTGCTTTCAGGTGTGTTTGGTTGTGGCAGCACCGCACGGCCGAGCCGCTCTCCCTTGCCCGGGGGTTCCTGTCCAGCTCTTTTGCCCAGCCCCTCGCGGCTGCAGGAGGCACCGAGACCTCGGCCCGTTTCACAGAATCACGGAACTGGGAGGGCCCTCTGGAGATCCTCCGGTCCAGCATCTGCTCCCTACGCACACGCTTAGATAAGCGCCCCGCCTGTTTCCCGCGGGATGGGATGGGATGGGACGTGGAGCGCTGGGCACAGCCCGGGGGGGTGATCGTGGCCGCGCCGCCGCCCGTGCGCGCCCCCGCCGCGGGCGCGCGCGGAGCGCTATACATAACAGGCCGGCGGGCGCGCGTGCGCGTCCCGGCAGAACCGGCGCCACCGAGAGCCGCCTCGCGGCCCCGTGCTCATCCGGGTCCCGCCGCCCCGACCCGCGGGGGGGGGGCGGGCCAGCCCGCGGTCTCTGCCCCCCCCCGCCGCGGCCCGTCGGCCCCGCGCCGAGCCGGCGGGTGGGATTCCCACCGGGATCGCAGGCTGTGCCTGCTGCTTCCCGGCCCGCCGAGGGGGCGCGCCCTCCCGGCCCGGCCGCCCGCCCCCCCGGGCCGGCGGTACCGAACACACCTCAGAAACGTGAGGGCCGGCAGTCACGTGGGGCCGCCGCCGGCCAATGGGCGGCGGGGGGCGGGGCGGGGCGGCCGGCGCAGCCCCGCGGCCGGCGCAGTCACAGGGCGAGCGGCGAGGAGCGGCACGGACGGCGCTTCCCGCGGGCACGGCGCGCTCACCGCCCCGCAGCCACCGCCACACACAGCGCTACCTCCCTCCCTACCTTCGGCCCCGCTCTCCCCGGCGCGGGGGCCCCGCGGGGTGATGCGTCCCCGCTGGGCGGCCGCTCCCGCCGTGTCCGCCGGGTCTTAGAGCCGTCCGCAGCGAGGCCCCGCGGGCCGCCCGTCCGTGCTCGCCCGGCGGCGCCGGGCCATGAGCGGCCCCGCGGGCGGCGGCGGTTCCCGCTGAGCGCCCGCGCCCGGCATGGGGGTGAACGCCGTGCACTGGTTCCGCAAGGGGCTGCGGCTCCACGACAACCCGGCGCTGCGGGAATGCATCCAGGGCGCCGACACGGTGCGCTGCGTCTACATCCTGGACCCCTGGTTCGCCGGCTCCTCCAACGTGGGCATCAACAGGTGGCGGTGAGTGCGGGGCTCCGCGGGGCCCTAATCCCCGCGTTATGTATGCAGTCACGCTGCCTCCCCGCCATCCCCTCCCCTCCGCGCCCGATTGGGCCGCCGCCAGCGCCGGCTTCCCCTGGCCGCCCGTGCTGCCCGCGGCACCGCCGTGTTACGTATCCGGCCCTGCGCCCGCCCGGCCAGGGAGCGGCGAGAGGGAGCCGGGCGGTGCGGCGCCGCAGGGCCGCGGCTTCCCGGGGAACGGGCTCCTTTTTCCCGCTCCCTCCGCCCGCTGCTGCCGGGCGGAAAGTCGTGGGGAGCAGCCGGGGGGGACCATCTCGGGACCTCTGGGCAGTCGGGAACCCCGGGCGACTTCGTCAATCCCAGGGTGACTCCGTCCTGGAAAAGCTGTGAAGCTGCTCGCTTAGCTCAAAAAGGAATTTCTCAGAGTAGCTTTCCTACAATAAAGGGCGTTATAGAATATCTTGAATTGGAAGGGTCACACAAGGATCAGAGAGTCCAGCTCCTAGCGCAGCACTGGACAACCCCAAGAATCCCACCATGTGCCTGAGATCGATGTCCAAACGCTTCTCGAACTCTGGCAAATTTGGTGTGCACTGTCCCTTTCTGGAGCATGCAGATCTCTCCCTACACCTTCAGTCCCCCTACTGAATACAGAAATGAACTTTGCTGTGGAGCTGGGACTGGTGCTCCCACACTAAATGTGTGCCATGATAAGGCAGAGGTTAATGG